GGCCAAGGAGGTTGCCGAACAGGCAAGTCAACCACCCCCCGTCCTGTGTCTTTTCAAACTCCTCCCCCCCCGCTGTGATCATCTTTCGGCAGTGGTGATGTCAAGAAGAGTAAAGCCAATTGTGTCTCTAAAAAGGGTCGGGGTAGATGCGTTGGACTAGCACGGAGGTCAGGTCAAAGCACGGTAGGCATTATTAGCAATTGAGTTCAAAAGCTAGTAGCCCTTCTTGATGATAGAGCAGGTTACAGAACGTCGCAGAATTCTGTAGCTAAAGCAGTAGCGGACCAGGTGAGTAAACTTCTTATAGAATACCGGTGGAAAAGCGCAATGAAACAAAATGAATAGCGCCAAATAAGAGCAACTGGCACCGCTATGTCTCGATGCTGTGGTCTGCCAAACAATCCGCGACCAATCGTCGTCCTTAAAGCAGTCCTACATATAATTTTGGAAAGTGAATGTTCTTAAGACTGAAGTTCTTCCAAACTGGGATCCGACTACCTCAGTTTGATCAGCCTCCCAATGCCTTGTTTCCCTCCGAGGTCGGGGGATGCAATTGAAGAAGCCCCGATCTCTTTCGATGTAACGACGTTATTTAAAACCACCATACCAAATTTGTCGCTCGAGACCTAAAGAGGCGTACGATGGGACTCAGAATCCGCTAAAAATTGAGCCTCTCATGAGTCATTTCGGGTTCTGTCAAAAAAACATGTTTAATTTTTATAAACCACTAGATAGTATTTCGCAACACTTAAAATGCAACGTTTACAGACAGTGAGGACCTCCGCTTCAGCCGACTGGATGGCTTAGATGAGGACTGTCTTAATTCTTTTTCCAAGGAGATCGTTCGGCAAAGCATTAGAGCATTGGCGGAAATAATGAACTGGTAATATCAACTAACACTCAATCACCTAGTTTTTAAAAAAACAATATTTTTTTGGTCGCGGGCGTCACGCATTTACTCATCTGAGTTTTAGAACTCTTACTGGAGTCCATCAATTTGGAGTATATTTTAGAAGTTCAGAGGCCTGGGCCGTGGGTAGCGTGCGTTTTTCTTGAAGAAAATAGGCCCCACCGCTTCACA